CCGTTCAAAAAGTCTAGCATCGACGGTGGGAGCAGCTGCATCAACACACCAACCGTTTTTTCCACTTCTAAAAACTCCTCTTGCACTAGCAGCAGAAATAGCTGTCGCGTCTTTTGTTGTGGCGCCATCGTATGTTTATTTGTCTGAGCGCGTTTTTTTTCTGCTTACTTCTGCCGCTACTGCTATTTGCTCTTGGATGCTTTGCGTTTTTGTTAGTTCGTCAGTATTGGCTGTGTGTGCATATGTGCGTACGCTGTACACGTCCACAATGGCGGACATAGGCGAGGGTGCTCGATGTGCTCTTTCGTCAAGCTCTTGCGTAAAAGAATAAAGCCGACCGCAGGCGCCGAGATCGCGCTAGTCCAGAAGCTTACGCCACTAGCAACGGCGCCTTCACCGAATGAGTTGGCTCCGTCTTTAGCGCTAGGTCGACTGACGGGAGCCCATTTCTTGTTGGCTCTGCTGCTGGAGGTCATAACGACACGAACAAATCCCTCCAGCGCGCACTGGCTTTCAGTGACCGATGGCCCTGCTCCTGCCATCATGGCTGAAAGCCGAAAGTCCAATGAGCGACGCATGGCGCGTGCATCGCAAATAGAAGAATGAACAGAAGCTAACATTTAGGAAGAGAGCAAAAGACAGAGAGAAAAAAAGGGGGGCACGAGATGAGACAAGAAAATGGAAGTATGCCTCCTAGTAGAATCAGATTGGAGTGATTACAATGTCTATAGCTACTATTGTTTTTGCGGCGATGACATTGAAAACTCGTTTATGTAGCAGTGCTTGACTCAGCCGGCTGGGGCCACCAGCTGATTGCCGGAGTATTTCGGAACTGCATGCGCTCGTGCATTGGAGAGTGACTGGAATCGCTGCCACCATCGCAGCGCCTATTGTAACTGCCGACGTCAGAACATTGCCTAATTTGCCCTGGGTATCAAAAGAGCAGGGATGCCAGTACCTGCTAAAGAGCATTTGAGTAACGGAGCACAGACAACCAGATAGCAAATAGCAGTGACCGCCGCTGCCAGGCAACGTGAGGCGCCATGACGTTCTATCATTTTCCGGGCGGCAGGCGAAGAGCAACCATAGGAAGTTTCCGGCCCAGAATTCTGGTAACGTCATGGGGTGATTTCAAGGACTGTAATGGAAGAATTCGCAGCGAAAGGGCTAGATGTAGTAGCGTCAAACAACCAACAGAATCAGAAGCTGGCTTGCAGCTCAGCGAGTGCCAGCGTATGCTAAAGGCGTCCTTAGATGAGGCCATTTGTTAGACGACACGCAAGCCAGACAGGCAAACCTTTTCTAAACAAAAGAGTGGATTTTGCAAAATGCCTTTGTCACGGCCTGCTTAGGGAGCTCCAGGAAAAGTAGGGGTTATCTAACCGGATGCGACTAGCACGCTTGGAGCCATCGATGGCCGCACACAAGATCACACGTCGAGACTGCGAAGAGGAGCTTGAATGCAGGCTAGCCCGAATTTATTTGGGCGCTTCGTCTTGGGCAGCAGTAGCAGCGGCAATGAGCAGTCCGAATTATAGCAACAATCCCAGCCTTCAGCACATTACCCAGACGCTCCACCATGGGGCTTTCCACATCAGTGCATCTACTTAGCCCAGTCCGGTGCGAGCCATTCATGAGCAGTTGTGAGGGTCGCTGTTGTGGTTTCTGGCAAGCAGTCCTGCTTGCTTTCACTCTATTTTCCTCTAGCTCTTGCACAGGCTCTCTTATTGAGAACGGGGGTTTCTACACTCGGCGACATCAAGTCCGGAATCGCAGCGAAGGAAGACCCGCCGCCGGAGGAACAGTCAAACACGACTACTCCATTTTTGTTTGGATTGTCAACTTTCGCTCCGGCGGAAGTGACGAATAGGACTCCGACAAACTTCAGATGAAAGTTAATGGCGGAGCTCCTGTCCAGCCTTTCGCAACAAAAGCAAAAGTGACTTACGGAGGGACAGAATGGGCCAATTCGGAGATTCGCTGCTCCCGTCTTTTCTCCAAATAGCAACCGCCTGAGAAGAAACGTAGAACTTATTCATGTTGTCCTTACCGAGCGTATTTCACTTACAAACCTCCTGGTAATTAGTCCATTTGCATTACCTTCAAGGAGAGAAGGATGCTCACACGGTGTGGGTAAACACGAAGATACGCTGGATGTCCATATAATCACAGCATCTAGCGACAACTGAGAAACGATTACGTGTCAATAATTGACGTCCGATTGTCTATTTGACAGCTTTATTACCATTGCAGTTTGTATGTTGGCCATTTGCAGTTTACATATAGGTTATATAGTTGGATAATGTAACAGTTAAGATGTGGACATTCGGTGCAGATTGGCAACGTTACCGAGGTGGATAAATAGCTAAACAAGGAATCAGCAAGCCTTTTTACTCCAATTTCGGTTTATCTGACGATACAGTGTTAAGAATTACTAAGAGGTTACAAATAATCTCTTAGCGTACAAAACACGGGGAAAGTTATAAATTGCCTAAAGGGGCCAATAATACTATTAGGCGTCCTTACGCAATTCACGGGCAGTAAGTTTAACTTTTACGGGGAAAAGTCGCTTGCTGGCTCCATACTTGGGATACACAAATTTTATGTTTCTTACTTTGTTAAATGAATGTGTACACGTTATGATGGCTGGGCGTCCAAATGTTTTATGCCAAAATATACTCAATTTTGTTAGATGTTTATGAACTGAGTTGTGCTAAAGGAAATTTCAGTAGGCAGGCAATACCCAGAGTAGAAATACGTGTGAATCTGAGTCGCTAATCCCTGTTATAAGTTATGCGATACGAATTTACCTAGAGTTCGGCTGAATTAAATGATCTATTACAGTGTGACCAAGCGTACTTCCTGCTGGGTATAGCGCCGCTATTTGACGTCGTGTACTCAGATCAAATGCTGTCTTGGTTTGTATAAAGTTTTCGGTAAGCGTATTTTTCTCGAAACTTATATATTAAAGGTTCGTATAGTGCAATCCAGGGTTAGTACACATACCTTGTCATTAACTATACAGCTTAAGCCGGAGAAGTAATCTAGGTGCACGTTCTCGACGGCAAAACTGCTGGCCAAAATACTGAGTTTTCTTTTTTTGGGACTTAACGCCATTGCCGTATGGCGGTGCTCTTTGAGGGAGGCAGATCATTTGTCACATTGTTACGGAGCTGCCTACATTTCTAGACAGGCGTGTTAATGCTGAATATATATATATATATAGATAGATATAGATATATATATATGTGTGCCGAAATACGGAAGCAGCCGTTTATTAAGACTTTTGACGCGATATTTCCGGATCTTTTTTTTACCAGATGTGTAACGAGTACTAGTGGGCATTTTGGCCACGTACCCGACGGATACATACCTAATTACAAAACAATTTAAAAGGGAACACTTGAGGTTTAAGTAAATGTCTGAATACAACGTCGTGTTTCTTAAAATGAAATTCGGCGATGAGTATCGTCTCTGTTTAAAGCTCCACCCTTCTTTTCGGTCCTCCTTTAACGTTTGAATACGCCCTTTCTTAAAACCAATAGGTTTATAAACGTTTAAGGTGCAAAATACTTGTTCCGTAGCTCCACAGTTGATGACCGCCAGATTGTCACAAGTTTCATATCTGGCCGGGTCCTAAAATGTTTCGAGTTACGTCTTGAAAGTCCTTTGGCATTGCATCGGCCAGACTGCTGATACAGCCAAGTCTATTGCTGCCTATCGTGCCGATGTTTTCATACATTTTTTGGCTTATTATTGCAGTGTACACAGCTATTTGTGTGATCACCAAAAAAGAATCGTCACGTCACACTGAACCGGTGGGTTTCAATGATAATGACATGATATTACCGTGCGTCTCAAACCCAACGGGCATACCTTGCAGTTTCGCTATGGCACGACGCCAGGGGAGCTCTCATACGGGTCGACACGGCATTTTTAAATCCCCCCCCCCTCTGCTAGGCAATTTCTTATCAGTTTGTGGGGCAGTAGGGGCAGTAACAAAATCTTCTAAGAAGTCTGTTTCGCAGAACAATAAACGCAGTTTGACTGAATTCAAGTTAGACACCACCATAAAAACGTTTGTTTTGTTTCCGGCTGTTAAATGCGTTGGGTCGTTTGACTTTGGGGTTATTCACCGTATCCCTCCTCGCCAATGCTTGTGGGGCCACCTTTTAGTAATTAGATTTGGCTAAGCAAAGCACCTCTCATTGCGTGTTCATACAACGCGAACCGCTGTTGCGTAGACGAGCTCGATTTTTTGTTCGTCTTCATATTGTACGTCAAAAACACAACTCAAAACAATATCACAAGCGGCGAAGTCGACATACTAAATATTATTTGAATGTAAATGTAAAGAAAACCAGCGCATTGTGCAGGTGTAGTTTTTGGCATACAGAGTACACACAGAATAGTCAAGATCAGTACTTTCGGCATAGGTCGTACGCACAGGCCCCAAGACACAAAATAGGTAGGATCGTCACAGATTGCTTGGACCCAATTTTTGGCAGATAGCGAAATGGGTGCTGATTGTACTGATTGTGCGATATACCACTGAAGGACCTATCAATAATGAGTGCTTATCAACGTCAGCGAAATTGGCCCGACTCTAACTGAGAACGTGTTTTGCGTATGAGTAGGTGTGGTACGTTTAATATAAGTACCATTAGCTTACGCGTATCGTTGCGAGTTAAAATTTATTATGACTAAAAATGTGACGACATCATGAATTCTAGGCCGTATCTCTAGCGCTATAGTTTTTCAAATTAAGTAGTCGAATTTGTTGTTTCGTACAACTGAGTCGACGGTCCCATATTGGACGCTCGTGTAGAAATTACATTTGTGCTTAAGCTGATATGATAGTAATTAGTTTTGAGACAGAATTTGCGCACATTTATACCCACGTCGTTGCTTTGTCTCTAATCGCTTGGTTTGAATTTTAGAAAACAGCTGATTGCTTAGTAAACAATATTCGTATGTCTTCCGTATCTGGCGTCTTTCAGACTATGCATGCGCTTCTCCGAAACTGTATGTGCCATTGGAGTGTCAGGAAGCCCGTCGAGAGACGTCGCTGCCGCGGAAAACCTATCACGAATTGAAATCGGCTCACGCTGACCGTGATTATCATCAACAGGAGATCCCGTGTCATTTGCATCACGTTGAAAAGGAGTTCTTTGCCAAGGCGCATAAAGCCACCTCTGAGGTAAGCAGGCAGGCAGGCAGGCAGGCAGGCACCTATGCACACGAAAACATAACTCGTAGGTGACGATGTTCCCATTTTCCAATAAAAGTAGTATAGGGAGAACAATTAATAAAACAAGCGAAATTGTTTTGAGACAAAAACAATTTCCCAGCTGAAGCTGACATTGTACTCAACACATCAGTTAACACACACACACACACAGCATTACTCGCTAGCAGCTTAGTTTGTTCGTTCCTATCTGCCTATTACCCGTCCGGTTCACAAAAACCTAGAGTGAACATTCACGCATTTTATTTGATGCTTCCAAAACGTAAAGCCACCATGTTATTTTGGTCCACTTCTTCTGTATCCATGTGTGGCAGGTTGTCATCCAGCACAACGCAGTTCTTTCGGACATTGACGTGGTGAGCGAAGAGACTGAAGTCAGCCGCAGCCCGCTAAGTCCGGCTCCCATAGTCGGGGACCTCGGCTCCCTGGAGAGCTGCGAAGCAAAACAACGCGCAGGGGTTCGGAAAAGGCCGCCCAGCTGGTCCGCGGCTTCGACGTCGAGTGACAGCGAACGCTCGCTTAGTCCCGGACCCGTCCGTCGTGTTAAGGGCCCGAGTCAGACTCAAAACCAGCCACTTGGTGGCGGCAAGTACACATGCCTTGAGTGCGGAAAGCACTATGCCACTTCTTCCAATCTGTCTAGACACAAACAGACTCACCGAAGCCCTGATTCACAACTCGCCAAGAAATGTCCCACATGTGATAAGGTCAATATATTTAGATGTACAGGGGGGGGGGGGGGTAAACTTAAGTACAAGGGCATACACAGTGTTTCGTGGGGTTTACAAGATGCGTATTCGGAATATATAGAACAAGAAGTAGATTAACGTTACTTTAATATATCGAATAAAATGTTTTGTCGAAAATTTGTTCAATAAATTTCATGGGTTCACTTTTCTTTTTTTGCTAGATACATGTACATTTTTTTTACTAGATATCTTCATTAATCTATGTAAATTGGGAGCTAAAATATTTATTTATTGTTCGGTGATGAGCAATGTACACGATAACTGCATTGGGTTAACATGTAATGAGAGGAGTGGATTCAAATGATAAGCCTGCTTGCTTGTATTTCAATTAACGACTAAAAGCTGTTGTCTTCGACCCGCAATATTATGTACAGGTGTATGTCTCGATGCCCGCTCTAGCGATGCACTTGCTGACCCACAAGCTAAGCCACAAGTGCTCCACCTGCGGCAAGGCTTTCTCGCGACCTTGGCTCCTTCAAGGCCATCTACGATCACACACAGGCGAAAAACCGTTTGCCTGTGCCCACTGCGGAAAAGCGTTCGCAGATCGCTCAAATCTGCGTGCCCATATGCAGACCCACTCCGGTGCTAAACATTTTCAATGTCCCAGGTAAGTCATCCTAGATAAAGGCTAAATTATCGTTTTATGATTTGATCATGCATGTAATGCGCCATACCTCTGCATGCCGATGCCGATGTCATCTGTCTTCATGTTGAACTAACAATCCGACATTTTTTGCGACTAGAGGCTTAGCCATATTTGAAGCTGTGCGTAGATAATAAATGGAAATTTGTCATTGGCAAACGTTCGCCGCCGTAGAAACAAATTCAAGCGTAAATGGCACCAGAACGTGTCTGCCATAAACTACTTTGAATTTTGAAATTCGTCGTATCGTAAGCCTGTTAATTACACATCTACGTGTAAAATTTTTAGCTCTATTTTAATTTTTAGCCTTGGGAAGTATGCGCTGTTTTATGCCGATTTCGTTGAAATTGTTTAATCCTTTTTAATAAGCTTTATCATATTATCTATCAAACAATAAAAATTGCATTGTGACCTTTTGTCTCTTATATATGTGGCAATCGCTCTCAAACGGGCAAGACGCAGAACGGTTTGTAGCTCTCGCGACTTTCAAATAAACTGCTTGAAGATAAACAAGCAAAAATTGTATGCTCCAAATCTCCGAGTTCTGAATAGCTGTTGTAAGGAGGACGCGCCTTAGCTAATGAAGGCACTCGACGGCGCCTCATAAACAGTACGAGGCTATGCTTGCCACGCGCCTGATGTGACTGAATGTTGCTTGGGCGTGCGTGTACGCAACTAGTATTCTGCTTTCCAGTCTCGTATGCTGAGTGTCTGCCTTTAGAAGTAAGCCTATCTGTAGCACGATCGACTATGGGCACGAGAAACGAACGCGGGGCGTCTGATGATTTCCGGCTTCACTTCCTCCCGTTGGGACGTCGGCGCGATGTGATAACAACAGGTTATGACGTGGGGTCCCGCAGAGGAGATACGTTGGACTAAGCTGTGAGGTGGAACACCTAGCTAGTTCAGCCAGCAGCTTTACCTTTTACGACAGAACGTCGTTTGCCGAGGAAAGTCAGCATCAGCAGTTCGTCCCTGGGGCTATAACCACACGAAGACCGAAATCAGCGGTGATAGTGGTTGTAGCAGGGACTAAAAATGTCGTTAAGTTTGACTCGCTTTCTGCCGACACACGAAGCCTATAGAAAATTTAGGTAGCAAGTAGATATATTCTAATATTTGCATGATTTACTAGACATCAGTGGCATTTTCACATTTAGATATTATTTTCTATGACGCTAATACTTTGATCTAAATTAGATTTTCTCTGATACGATTTGATATTAAGAAATATACCCTATTCATAGGGTTTAACTAAACGGTAAGTTGAAGTAGAGCTAACGATACAAATACTAATCAATTGCTTTCCATGCATTACTATTGTTATACATGTGGTGTACCGTTCCACTATGTTACCTTAGGTGCTCGAAGAGTTTTGCCCTGAAGAGCTACTTAAACAAGCATATGGAGTCAGCGTGCCACGTAACCAGGGACGAGGCTCAGCTGCTCGAGGAAGGCGAAGTTATCCTCGCTACATCTAATAAACCTTAAGCTCTTCACTCACATTTCCATCTACAGGGTTCCGAAGCTTAGCAGGAGCCCCGACGTTAAGAAAGTAGCACGCTACAAGTCAGCAGGTTTTTACACGTTCTTCCTATGAGGTCAGCCAAAAAAAGAAAATACCCAATAAATGACATGCAAGTCTACCCACGCAAACTGCTTCCCGTGTCGAAGCTTTGCCCCTTCCGTCGGACACTGCCTCCTGTGAGGGGGGGGGGGGGGGGAAGATAACTTGCAAGCTTTCTCTATCCATCTTGTTGATACGGGATCACCCTTTAATACATTCAAGGTATTTCTCAGCACATAGTCACACTGGCGTAGCGTGGTTGTGTGCATTCGCTAACGGCAACTAGAGAGAGTATTGGGAGATGACAGCAAAATATTAATACTGTCTTTGACGTTCATAGATTCGTAAAGATACACATAGATAAAGACGGACATAGGTCGCGCTATTTGTTATAACAAGCACATTAGTTACATTACGACTTACCCTATTATAGTTTAATATTTGTATACTTTTTGCCTGAGCAGTTAAGTACTACAAGACTACGTTATTGGTGATCCCTGTGTATAAGCTGGTGCGGCGCCTGTCATATACAGAACACCGAGTAGAAAATACTTGAGAGATTTATTGCAACGATGAGAATGGCTACTATAATTATTATTAGACGACTATTATATTCACGTAAGCATTACTATTAGACTACCACTACTAGCGCAAAGTTTATTTAAACTTGCTTTTTTCCGTATAATACAGTATACGAAAAAAAGCAAGTTAGAATACGTGTACACGAAGAAAAGCGACACCCAAGCAGAGACAACGTAATCAGAGACAGGTGCAAAACGAAATATGTATGTAGCAGTCAGGAATGGAAGCGGGAAATATATTCATCATATACCGTTGTTTCTCGGTTATCCCCCCGCTTTTGTCTGGGTGTCCGCCTAACCAATAAGTTTACTCTACTACTACAAGGCCAGCCCTGACAAAATGCAAGAAGGTTCCTCCGTGATACGAACAGACCCGGGGGACGCTCGCCGTCTGCTGGAACATGGCAACCCACAAGCAAGACGGCAAAACATGTCCGTCTTCAAATGGTCACGTCATAGGCGACCATAGTCAACCGTGGCCGCATTGCGAATAGCCCATTGCATTGAGGCCCGAAAAAGGAGCTGTGGTTTTCGTGGCGCTTGCTCTCACGGTCCTGCCCGGCCAAACTGCTGCTCTTACCTACGTGTTGTGGACAGTGACAAACCTCTAGCTTCTCTCGGCGCGGGCTTAGGCGTGCCATCTAACCACCGGACGAAAACGCTAGCGATAACAACGCGGCTGACAAGCAGGCCGCTGTCCGAACTGGAGCAGCCATTGTCGTTGGTGTAGATAGCAACGTTGTTGAAGTCATAATAACAGCTGCAGGAGCAGCGACGGCGGTTTCGAAATGCCCCAAGAAATACACTGACGAGTCCGTGAGTCTCTCAGGCGAAGAAGGAACAGGCCATGAAGAAAGTCAGAAAAACACGTAGAGAAATAACAAGATAACGACGGCAACAACAATAACGGCAGCAGCGGTAGACGCCGTACTCGCGAAAACGTGGCAACGACGCCGCTGCAACAACGCCGGTAGTGGCAGCAATAATAAGGAGCATAGCAATAATCGCATGGGAAAACAGAGATACAAAAAGGTTTGTCATGGTGAGCACGAAAAGCATACCTGGATTCGTAGAAGCACGCTCAAAGAAGCAACTAAAAAGACTGATAGTGGTTCTAGTGGTGGTGGTAGTGGTTTTGGGGGGCGTGGGGCACAGTACCCCAGAGTCACAACTGTCACTGCTGTCGATGATGGCAATGGCAAAATGGTGCGGTCTAATCACCAATGGGTCGTTACAAAATCATGGCCCCGTGATGGCATCAAGACGGCCTCGCAATTTTGCGGCTGGAAAAGTGCGATTGGGTTTTGGCTTCTAAGTTGGGCGTTGGTTAGATAGAGGAGATAATATCAAAGATTAACGTCGAGAGAGAAAAGAGATTAAGGGAAGAACAGACGTGGGGAAAACGAGATTTCGAGCTCAAATTAAGGGGGAAAAACGGAATCCAGAAGGCTGGATTGAGCGAAGAGTAACACATTGCACTGTCTCTATGTGATCATGTGCTTGGAGGCAGACTGGTAGGTAACCTACGACCGCCTAATGTGCAACAATAAAGAAGACTGAGTCTGAGTAACCGCAAAAAGATGCGGTTCAGACAATTAGGTTCAACAATCTCGAGCAAACAGTGGATAATGGCCAAACTGATGATAATCAGACAACGTTATGTTCAGGCACTATTCATAATCGTCTGCTGTCTGGCGTTGCTGTCACTGTTGCCGTCCGCCGAACGATCCAGCTGCTCTGAAGTATCTTGCCAGAAATATTTCACTCATAAGTAATGTTAACGAAACGTCAGAACGAATTTGAGTTGTTTTGAAGCTTTTGCTTTTGTAGGTCAACCTGGACACGATATTCTAAACCGAAGAATTAGCATTTTTTAGAGCAATATTTTAAATAGTAGCTGATTATTTTTCACTCGCTTCGTCTACCGAAAACAAAGTCACAAAATGAATATTTCAATTTTTCGGGTGATTGAGGTACGAACTGAGCATCGACCCCGTCACCACCACTAGGGGTAATGTCCTAGCTCAAAGTTTTAGCTGGTTGTCCACATCTGGGTGCTGGCTGGACGAGGTCGCTAAATTTATTTCAACGCAAGATGGGATCTATCTCTCCTTCGGTCCAGATACCAAACGACCAAAAGGGCGAAAAGTCAACCGCTCGAATTACGTTCGTAAGATTCGAGCGGTAAAATAAAAAAAATTCGGTCTTTGCCGCGGCACACGGAGGGATGCATTGAGGTAAGGGATAGAACTGCACTAAAATTCAAGCGACACTACAGATACTAAAAGTTAATATGAAACAGGTAAATAAAAGAAATATAGCAACAGGGACGGCGAGTCTATAGAAAAAAAACCATACGATGAAGATCACATAATAAAGGTAACTTACACGCACTTGTGGCGAGACTGCAAACGCGAAAGTAGCTAGTGCGATGATCAACGTATGAACTATCTAGAACGATGCACTACACTATACTATAATGTAATACAAAAATCAATGAGTCCCAGTGACACACTCGTACAGATAATCTATATTTTTAGAGTTAGATATTTCGGAACTTCGTATGCTTATCTATACATACGATAGATACTAATCAAGTTCCGATGGCAATAATCTAAGAGAACGAATAGAGCAGAATATGGCTCACCTGAGAGTAGCCGTCTGATTCTTAAGACAAATAATTTTAATGAAATATGGCTGCATTGCTATATTTACTATGTATGAGTACATAGTATGAAAAGTATGCGAAAATAGCTAGAAGCAGAAATATCTATAGGGTCCCTATGATAACTAAGATATGAGAAAAAAAATCAGAAGACATTAATTATATAGGGGACGTAATCTCGGAACGTAAATGCCCTGCTATTCAAACAAGAGCTTCTTATGATTTTGAAACTACGCAGGAACTATGATACAGTGAACTTATATAACTAAGCTTTATGATGATTTGTTAGCTTTTGGGTCCGTATCTTCTAAACTACTGTTTCTCTAGCAATAGAGAATGCTGACGTTTACAACTTACTTATGCCCGACCTGTGCAGCGTTCCCATCAAAATAGACAATAGTATGATGTAAATCGAGTCCATTAGCGAATTAATTATGGCGATTATTTCTGTCTGGAATCCTACTGGAAGTGTCTCTGTAAGTTACTCTGTGCATCACACGGGGGTTGCACACCTCGTATTTGTTTCCGGCAAAAAGCTACCAAGCCAAAACAGATCACTGTTGGACGACCGTTGACAACGGTTTCGTAGGTCGTCAACAATTGATGGCATGCAAAAGGTTTACGTTAACCCTCTGAATAATCAATACTTTACATAGTAATTATCAAACAGAGTACGTGAGAGCGAGGAGCTAACCGGGTTTATATGAATATTAATATAGAACGCAAGGGGTCTATAACTTAGGTGCTAACTAACTCCATTCTCTCACAGAGTGCACAGTCATTACCCAGTTCTTAGGTTTAGTATAAATGAATGAAGAGTCAAAGTGCTTGCTAATTTCTAACAGTTAAATGTAAGATGATGAATGACGACCGATTGATTCTTACAGACTATAATTAATAATTACTATAAATAAGACTAATAGTTACCCGACTCGGGAGGCACGGCGCGAAAGCGTCGTTTCATGACCATCAGCGGGCGGCGGAGATAAAAATCTACCCTTCGATTATGTAGCCAAGCGTAGACTATCTAGGGAATAAATTCAGAGAGACACTTCGCCACTAATCGAAACGGCGAAGTAGGGCCGTTCTAATGTACCTTACTTTGGGCGATAATATGAAGTTTTGTGCTCAAAGAAGTTACACGTAGTTATGTTTTTCGAGCAATAATTACTTGTATGTGTGTGTGTGTGTGTGTGTTGCCCCATACGTCTAGGAAAATGACACTAGTCCAATATGAGAGAGCACGAATTGACATCAGATAACTTATCGCGATCAGATGCTTGCGATAACTATACAACTGTACTATACATCGCATTGTATTCGTTCCTCGAATATGTCACCTAAATAATTTGATTTCAGATGGAAAAGGTTAGTGCAAGCTTGCATGATCCTACATTAACAACCTGCTCGCTCCGAGATATCTGCTCATTTAGTAAACACGGTCATCGGCTCAATTGGCACTACTTGAAATCGGAATGTCCTAAACCGACCTACTTTTTGTCACTAGCTACTAGTATCTCGTAAACACGTACCTCTAATGTGTGTGATTTGTCTGCATGTATCCTAGTAATATTGCACGCCGCATACCATAAACACGTAACCGTAATTCATATTGCCCGCCGCCTCCATAGCCATCACTGTAGACCTATGCGAGGCATTCGATTGCCGCTGGCGTCTATGCAACGTCATTACTTCGACTGTAAATGAGTCATAACGAACGCGCCGGTAGGGATTGGTCCGGCGATCACAATGACGTGCTAAGCTTATAAGCTGAGCTCATAATCTTAATCATAATAATATCTCTATTTGCATATAATCGATAGCTGTATAAAGGACAAGTACGAGTGACTTACGAGTACGAGTACGAGTGAAGGACGTGCCTAAAAAGCCACTCCATATCAATAAGTTCGAAGACGACCTTATAATGAAAGCTTTACAATTAAATATCGTTTAGTTCGCAGCTATTCCATTGATATAGGTAGTTTTTAATCCTATGTCGTACTTGGCGAACGAAAAATGACTTCTCACTAAAAGAAAAATCCTAGCAGCGATGTGGCCACCTGACCCGAATCAATTATCCGATCAATGGCAAAACACTATAGATATACAACGATCTAAAATACATTTACGTTCTATAGGCGATTTATTTTACACAATCTTTGCGCAATCCCACCCTGATCGCTCATTAGGGTCGTTTGTATCGGTTGTATTTAACCAAACACGGGATTACCCCACAATCGATGTATGTATATCACCCAACGACGGGAGGCCAACTCTATCGATCATCACCGTCTGATCGAATGCCGTTTTATTCAACCTGGTGGCAGTTTTTGTCTCACTCGATTGATAATGTAATATATATATATATAATAGTGTACTATATATTTGTATATTACGTATAGCGCAATTTTCCCCAACGATAATAATATTGACTTTTTGATACCGCGCTATGATAATATGGGCATCGTTTTCTTACCTAGTGATAAGGAGCACAACTACTATTCAATTCTACCATTAGCCTCGAAGGTATATCTCCTTGGAAAAAATAAGGGCGTCATCACTTAAGTATTAACATGGTGCGGTGCCTCCTGATGAACCGAAGCAAACGGGTCGGCGTACTGACCGTTGCTCTACATAAACTATAACAATGTAATTTGTAATAATCATCATATATATATATATATATATATATAGCTGGTTCTTTAGTAACGACCTTGATAGTTACATATGTTGGATGTAGTAGAATGAATCAGTTATATGAAATATAACAGAAAGTAGGAGCAACGGACGGACAAGGGAATAATTAGTGTGTCCGAGTGGAGGTCTGACAACGAACGCGTCGAAAGACGTTTAATCAACGACAAGCTTGAACCGTTCCAGCCCGAGCCGCTGAGATCCTGAACGAGATCTTCACGCTTCTTTCGAGGCTTGGCCGCAGAGCTTGCAGAGACTATCAAAGCAGCCGTATATTTTTCGCTAAAACAAGGAGCAAGAAACGCACGCTTGCTCGTTGTCGCTAGCTTTAGATGGGCAGCGTTTAATAGAGCTTTGGTTCAGTATCATAACGAAGACGACAATAGACTGATCTAAATGGATTTCGTATCGTACCCATTTCAAACGTTAGTTGAAATTTCTATTAGACAGTAAAGGAGCATATAAAAGCTTAAAACGAATATGTAAAATAATATGGCTTATCGAATGACGGCTCCAATTTCTAGAAAGTATACTGAACGTTGTACGACGGGGCGTGTGCTATTGGCCTCCTGTAAAATCGCTACTCAATGAAAATGGTACACTAATATGCATTTTGATTTTTACCTCATCGTCAGGTCTGGTACTTACTTAGAAACGGAAAAGTACCATGCCTGAACCGAAATTACCGATCTGAAATGGTTCTTTTTTATATTGTTTTAGTGTTAACAACTTTCATCATTTTGATAGCATTGCAGAACTTTAAGAGGCGATATCCGTCTTGCGGCATCAAACTCAATGTGATGGCTTATTGATAGCTCTATATTATATAGGAATAGCAGTATAAAACATAGATCATATTTACCATGTTTCTATAAATCTGGATACACCTAGAATGACTACGAGCCAGACTACAATGGGCTTTTTTTGCTGCTTCCATCCCCCGTAGCCAGATTCTTCTAGCCGCCATCTTTGATTGCGTATAGATTGACAGCATGAACGCAGGTCGGATCAGCACAGATTGTATAGAAAACAAGCTGTTTAATTCAAACTACCGTTGTTAAATGTCATAAGAAATAGCAACCACGTTAAATATATAGACGATATGAGCTAGTTATGGGCAAAGGAAGCGTCGACAGCTAGGTCGGACCTTAAGTAAACGCCCGACCCCAACGAATGTCATCTATAAAACCAGAGGCCTCTCTGAACATAGCAATAAGGGCGTGTATTCACTCAAAGCAATAATGCAAAGCAATAACAACCCTATGTTAAGATAAATGATAACAGAAAAAAAAACAAGAGATCCATCGTAATTGGCAGATGATTCATTCATATAGATACACATACCTGTAACGACAGGTATGCCCTTATATACTAGTAATATGCATTTAGATGTACAATTGCTTACGATGACGTTTTGTGCGTATCTGTGCGTGTGGTGTGCGAGCGTGTTCCCGAACATCTGCGGCTGTAACATAAAGCAAACGACAAAACGCTCGACAGAGATTACGAGCTTTCGATGAAAATCGTTAAGACAACGAGAATCATTCTATATCGCTACCGCAAGGCGTTTCATGCTGGTCGATTAGTAACATCGATGACAATGTATCGACGTCTCTATCTTTTACTGGAAGTATATTGAATTATTATTACCATATAGTCGGAGCATTAAAGCTAGCTCAGGGCACACAGATCAATAAAATGTTAGATATTATATATAGACATGTTTCCCTTTATATTTCAGACAACAGTACTATCACAGTAATAATGACTGATATCTGACCATGATAAAACTAAGCAGACAAATGTTGTAGTCCATAATGTCAAAGTATACTAAAGAGGAGAAACAGGTGGAAGCAAAGGAAACTACCGTAGTCCAACGGTACGGAACAGGACGCCGTAACGAATGAGCTACAGAGAATCTCTAGGGGGTCAAAAGTGAGAGATGTCGCAGTATAACGGACGTTCTAGATTTGTAATCGTAGAGTAGCAACAAAAGACGATTACTCTGACCGTAGGCCGAGTGACAGCAACCCTGCTGCAAAACGGACGAATAAAGGACGCAAGTAATCGATCGTAGCACGTAATACTATAACGATAATACCTTTCGTTATTTATGTAAATTGACACAACGAAGAAGCAGAATAGACACCATAGTATATTCAGTTCAGTGTAGAGTAGACACAGACGTTAGAAACAAAGGAAAAAGCCAGCAACGGCTTACGTGTTTGGTTACCAATGGCCTATTTTGAGGGTGACTGCTATAAATAGAGATTTCGGGCTAGCTAATCCACGGTGATGTATATTCCAGGATATTTTTTTCGACGTTGTAAACTCGACTAATTTACACACAGTTGCTTATCGAAATAAGTTCTCTGCTTGTTTACAATATTTGATAGTAAGTGTTTGTCTCTTATAGATGACGCGAATCTTAATAACGGATTAGTGATCAATACGAGCTCATCGTAAGCCCTTTATAATGTTTTGCACTAACACAAATTACGCAGCATCGGCTATAAAGCTCTTTCGATACCTGAAATAGATTTTTGTGGATCGGCCTAAAACAAGGCAAGATATATAAAGATCATCGCTAAATTGTGTAACCTATAGATTTAGCGGAGCGCATGTGTTACTAGAAGGTAAGCATTTGACCTACTATCAAAATGAGCGAATCTGATATTTTTTCCCGATCTTCTCAAACTGTTGCCACTGAGGCAAAATACGCGTAACAGGTAAATTTGGTAATGCTTGCCGCCGGAAACAGCTTTATCCTTTTTCACTAAAGGTCCTTTTCTAGACACAAATTATAATGAAAAAAAAAAAAAAAATTCTGATTTAATTTGATAATAGCGAAGCGTCCGATCAGGGACAGTCACAAAATGTGATTTGTTTTGCTATAATAGTAAACAGCTGCCGACAAACACATCAACGTCCATGATATATATATATATATATATATATATATATATATATATATATATATATATAGAGTGAGTCGCATAAAATGAATGAATAAATAACTATAGGAACAAGAATTACAATAGCAAAAAAAAAAGAGATAATTAACTAACAGTAATCTCAGACACGATAACAACTACGAGATTATGATCATTTATTAGCAACAGCAACATGAATATAGACAAAGTAATCATCATCACACTTCGTCGATTCGTACGCAAAAGCGACCCTCATTCACGCGTGAGCGGAAGCCACAAAATGGCAAGTAAACGAGAATCGTATAGAAAGACAGATCGATGAAGGCTTCATAGAAACGCGGCGAAATCAATCAGTTACTTTAATTCTATATTTATCGCCTGCTACAATAAATATGAATTACTAAAGCGCGTTCTGATGATTACGCATTCGCTCGAAACTGTCTCGTGTGTTTTTTTTCTAACTTTACACATTTTTTCCAGAACGATCAACGATAATAGATGTTATATCGGACAATCTGACATAGAATCATATTGAAAAGAACGAATGTTTGCTGCTACATAGATGTTTAATCGTTTCATTTTGAAGCTCCGTTGCGGCGTATAAGTCACATGTAACAATTTCTAGTAGAAGTACAACGACCGTTGCACTGTCGATAGTGGCTGTAGCTCATCTGCAAAATGACCTTGCCTCCCCGAGGGGGTCCTCGATTTTCCTTTCCTTACCACTCGTGTTCCTCTTGGGTGGAACTTTGTCTTTATCCTTTCAACTCGTAGAAAATATTCAGCAGTGGACCAGACATTTTATAAAATTACTGCTGGTCAAACAGTTGCAGCGTACGGCCAGTGTTATGTTGTTTGTAACTAGGGGCATTCGTATACGTACGAGAATTCTATCGTAGCAGTGGAATACTGATTCTACTTCTTTCTTCTTTCACTTAGGTGGCGTAGGACGTCGACGTTTTTCGGTTGTCTAGTCAATTGACGTGCATGAACGCGTTACTTTGTTCGAGATTCAGACTTTTCGTACGAAGGAGTTTTAGCCAAAATTACAGAAAAAAAATTGATCATGTATGATGCATTAAGCGTTTTTTTTACCCGTAGTCAATAATGTTGTGGGCTCACAATTTCTGATATAGCAAGGTCACAAAGGTGGATTACTCTATATGTACATTTGGTCTGTTTCGCTTATAGTAAGCATTATAAGGTGGCAATATGAATAGCCGAGTTATTTCTCATCGTACAGAATTACGTAAAAGAGATGACATGTTTTTGGGTTTCACCTTCAAAGCAGCTCTCACCCATTGTGTGATTAAAGTTATTGTCAGACAAATTTTCGATGAGCAGCCCAATAGCGCTTGCTTACTTGCACACCCATAGCAAGAGCATGACTGTGTAAATTTACATAAAGCATACAAATTTTACCTTTTTCTAACAGTTGCTCAACCCAGTACAGTTACCCAGCTCTAACCCATTACATATTACAACCTTGGCTCAGAATAAATAAAATGTAATGCAATTATCGGACCCCCACCGAAAGTTTAGCACCTAAAGCTGCGTACAAACAAACGATCGTTTCCAAGCAGAGAAACCGTTCTAGTCAAAGCACTTTCTTTACCGGGTAGACAGCGCGTATTCGTTTGTCAGAGGTTCGTTGCAGTCTATCCAGAGATCAGCTTAATAACATTCTCTGTCTTCTAACAGCAGCAAGCTTCATCATCAGTAGGGGTAAGCTCATCCTTGCGGTAAGTAGCGACTGTTTGTATATTCGAATTTTTCGAGTGCTCTCACTTAAATCATCTGGACTTCACTCCATTTTCAGTAGGATTAATTTTACTTGGCTGCTCGTTAATGCTTCAAACTTGGAACCTGCCAACCACTGTTTGTTTAATGTATCCTCAATAGATTTCATTGTTTTTGACAAATTTCTTTCTACCGGATACCGTCTTATTTAAAATTAAATAGATTGTTAGACATAGGATAACAGGATAGGTTCAGAAGGACACTTAACATTATCCTGCTTGTCCTCATATTAATATTAACAGCAAAATATCGATTTCTATCGCATTGGCTTCACTTTAATAATCTGTTCGGCCGGGCCGATCATACGACTCTATGCAGACGAACACGCTTCTTAAGAAATTGATATTTTTTGTTTGAGGTAGTTACAAAGCTGTCTAACGAATAGAAAATCTGTCTGCGAATGAGAATTGCCATACGGAATCCCTCGGGGTTCATTTCTCGACTTTTTTTTTCTGTTTTTGGCTTTATATTAATTATTGAAGTCATTTGCTTATAAGCTTTATGTCCAAAACTGGGGACGGATGTTGATGACGCCGCAGGTTCGGTATAGAAAGACATCGATCGAGTCGCATAGTCTGCAAGTGACAGCAGACGTTTAGATTTGTTATTTATAAAAGAGCTTTTAAATATAGAACGTCTTCACGCCCTAAACTGAAAGTGGATTATTATCCACAGCTTGTTTAAAGATTTGAAAATTACCGTATCGTCTCTGTTTGGCTCTAACTTCCACGGGGATAATCCTGTGCATTTTCAATCAACGCAATTTCTATCTGTTAATGTCTGATTTACATACAATTCTGTCAGATTTCTAATTTTACCAAGATGATTTTACCGCTCTTACGTCTAACGTCCATACGTCAAAATCTACATGCGTCTTTACACATCGAAGTAGAACATATGAAGAGATCAAGTTACTTGAAATTGTTTGTGTGAATGCAAAGGCTCGACGTACTCGCAGTACCTTAATACTTAAATAAATATAATAAGTATACTTAAATAATACGTAATACATAGAATATAGCGCACCTGAGTGCTGCATCAGAAGCTTGCTCGCCCCAAATTATTCGATCAGATCCATTTCCATTACGTAAGTCATAACAGGCACGATCTATCTATAATACCCACCTAGATGTGTGCCATACATTTGCTAGTATAATAATTTCTCATATACTGCCTATGATGACGCTGATAATCACAGAAGAACACCTTAAGTTGTTCGATAATTCTAGCTACACCTTGTTGATAATTCCGCAGACAAACGAAGCGTCACAAACTTAAATGCACACTTAGTTACTTGGTAATTTTTGACACTTTGTTCATACAACAATATGATACAATTATAATCATTGTAGAACGATTTGAAACATGTCTAGAGTTTGACCTTCTATGCGTATCGCATATGGAAGCAATAGTCGTAGTGTTATGACAAAACAGTTTTTGAACAAACAGCGTTTGAAACAGAGCTTTCAGAATGAAGCCTGATTTACCTGATTGTCCATCACAATGTCAAGGTCTTTTTTGCGTTGCAATCGTAGATCAGGACAGGTTATTGCTTTATAAATGATTATATCGAATTTTCCGATAACCAAACGTGGACAATCAATTTGTGTGCTATCGTCGGTCCGGGAATACCATAACCGTTTCGCACGAAGTGTGCACACTGCGATCTGTCAGGGGATATAGTTGCTTGTTGGTAAATATCCCCCAAAATGCTGTTACCTGTCGATTTATAAGGTAGTTTATCAGGAAAATTTGAAAAGCATGCTTTAAAATATTGAAAAATGTTATTATTATTATTTTAGCAAGGCGTATAGCTATATATATATACATTGTTACTACTATTATTCTCATTATCTATTGAGAAATCGCGATGTGTTTGTTACAAGGCCCAGAGTTTGTGAGAAGAATTGCCCAGTCGTATTTTGACACCTATATGCGCAGATAAATACAATTGACATAAAAAGAAACAACCCCCCGAATATGAGCATGACGGGTCCATAACAGAGTGCAATACAATATTTCATTAGCGTCACACCAAATTTATGATTTCCGCTAAACTGAACGAATTTCTCTTCATTTAGAAATCAGTTATTTTAGTCAATATGGAAAATGTACTCTTGACTCAATAAAAGGGAAAAGTTATACAAAGTATTTTGACAAAGCTATCTGCTTCTACAAGGCGTTTTTTTTCTCTCCTAATTTTTGATTTAAGCGGGGATCGAGCCAAGTAATAGTGCGAGCCATTGCTAAAAAGTGTAATTTCTCTATTTGGTTTAATTTGTGAGAAGGTCAAACAAAGAGGTAACCTCATCCTTCGGAAAATCATTTATTTCTTTATTGACTTAATAACAACAGCAAACCGATCAAGATCTGAGACACTCAGCTTATCTAGCAGTGCCCGGCACAATCCTACTCAACGCTCTATTTACTTCGGAACAGTGAACCTCGCATTGCGCAACCTAACGCTCCGTGTGTCTCTATGAGTTTGGACCATTAGCAGGGCAACAATACAACATCTAAAAGAAAACAACATGCTGTTATAAACTAGACAATAACCGCATCGTTCAAACACATGGACCGAACAATAATAATACGTGGTGGAAAATGATAGATGAGTAAAAAATGTTTGTTTGCCTCTAATTTTGCCCATTTGTTTTGACTACTTTGAAAACGTTTATTATTAACGGAAATACTAGTAGTTCAACTAAAATATATGCGTTTGATGTATGAAAAGTGGCGATGCAAGACAGGGCTTTCGACTGCATTGTATCACTACGTTAGAAGTAGGCGACAGGAGACGGTGTTTCCAAAAATACTTTATGGGCTTTAAACTACGACTATGTGCTCTTTCACATTTCCTTGTCAATATCGGTGCTTGACCTGTACATTTAACATCTTCTATAGCCGCTAAGGCTTCCTTAAACTTCCTAAATCTTTTAAAATCCAGCAAATGAGACTCCAGGACAAAAATTACTGCCGCAATTTTACAAATATTTTCAATACAAGCTTGGAACAATCGAAGCTTCGGCGCATATGGGTGCCAATCCAGCCTTCTACTGGAGACGAGAAGTCCATAAAACTTTTGATATAACAAAACTAATTTAGAAAACGTTCGAAATAGTCTGGATTAAGTACTAGTAAAGTTTTAGCTCATATGTCAATAGATCATTATAGGCGCACAAAGCCTACAGGCGAACTCGTTCCCTGATGTCAACGTATTGGGAACTGTCTGCCAGAATGGGCCGTTAACGACAGCTCACAAAAAAAGGCACGTTACGCAAAGCCCTTGTGGATTCTACAAGGTTCACAGAACGAACACCCGTAACTTGCTTGTTCTGACCGAAACGAGTATAATCTAATATTGATACAACGCTTAAGAATAAATGCTTTAGGACATTTATAAGAATAAAGGTAGTCTTGGGTAAACTCGTTTCAGCAAGAAACCAGCAGGAGCACGGAAACATGACGACAAAATAGCCATTTTGAGCCCTTGTCGGTCTAAGGTTCTCGTATAAAGTTTATAAGACTGCCGTGACATATAACATACCTCAAACTCTGTACGGTATGTGTTTTTTAGAAGTAAAAATAACGATTCGTATATCAAAACATTTTATACTCATACGATTGGGTTCATAATACTGTTGCTATTCATAACCCTATTGGGTTAGGTGAACTTATGATTTTGTGTAAGCAAAACGAACTGATCATTTGCAAGCCTTTAGTTTTATGCCGTTAAGTTGAACAGCAAGTTCCACTTTCACAGCGGAGCTTACGATCAGAACAACATTGAAAAGGAATTGTACTTGCGCATTAAATATGAATTAATGTGAGTCCATTGCGTGAGATTACCCTACTTGGTTTATTGTTGAACCAGACATACGATCCTCTTCGCCTTACATACAACACTACAAAGACCTCTTAATTGCGAAATGATTCTAATTCTATATATCTATATCTATATATATATATATATATATATATATATATATATATATATATATACAATTTAGGACTACGCAAATATGTCACATTTTGGGCTATAGTTTATTTGTGATATTCGAGGGTAAATACACTGTTTTATCGAAGTACTTTCTTAGTAAGCAGACTACATTCTGCTAATGTTTTTGCCGATTGTTAAATTTATGGTGCACTCATTGACAATTTTCTATCTAAAATCAACAGATTTCTTCATTTTTTCCAGACTTCGTTCAACTAGACCTCAACTATGTCCAACTCCATCATACAAGCTTCATTTGCTCTAGTCTTCTTTTTAATTAATAGAAATAATCACAACTCGCGTCATGGAGTGGGGCCTTAGCAACCAAGAATATTGGATTGTGCAACTTCAGTAGAGCTAATCATACTAATTAACATAAATGAGGAAAATACATATTTCTGTCGTTTTTGGGCCAAAATTGGTTCATTGGCGTGCCCGAACAATGTAGGCGGCAACTTTCTTAATTTTGTCCGGAATTGTCATGCCTGTTCCTGTTCAGGTTTTAGATTTATTGGTTTTGACTTTAGTTAAGGCGCCAAAGTACCTAGAATCGTCAGTTTATCATGGTCCAACTACTATCATCGTCTTTATGGCAATCTTTAATGTGGCAATGTATGCATGTATGTGTTTAACGGTAAGGTTTCCAGCATGAAATTTGCAGCAGAAACGTAATTCTTTGGCAATACTTAGCAGTGGCCGCCCGCTCCAAGCCTACAATTAGTCCTTCCTTCTATGATACCCCGAAATTTCGCACATGGTCAAGAGATGATTGTCCAACCGTAATTTATATAAACTATTTAATTAGATACAACGTTTCGCTTCCAATCGTATTAGGAAAATTGTGCTAGCAAATATCCACCATTTACAGGTTCATCCATTCTAATAGTGACTTAGGCGTATATCAATCAACCTGATTAGCACAAAAGTGAATATAATTCACAAATATAATTATAATAATATATATATAATATATTCCCAACTCGATCATCATAGCTAATTTATGTTATTGTTGCGGCGAAAAGTCCACTGGAAGGCTAAAATCAGTCACATACGGTCGGGCACACCCAGAGTGCTCAGGACGTCTCTTAGAAGGGGCCTGCACGATAGGCATAGAATATCTCAGTTGTTCGAGGTGCTACGTTGGCGGTTACAGCAAGTAACTACATTATAAATTATTTCCTTGGACAACACAAAAAAGTCTCACAAATATGAAAGGCATGTTGTCTTAATTAATAAAGTTTTATCTAGAATTTAATCGATTCAATGTATCCATCGATTCGCTATAATGATGCCCCAGAGGCACCTCAATGCGCCAGACACACCCTCGTTAACATGACATTTTAGGTGTTGCAGCATCCTCGGTATTGCAATTGAACCTCAAACGATACGGCGCATTCCATTACGTGCGTATGACAATGTTTTGATTCGCCTTCTGGAAGTATTGCAAGGCGAAGGTAATGGAATCTTTCCGATACAACGCAGCGTTTAAGATACCGAAAACTAAATAGCGTAAGTAGGCCAATGGGCATGTTTCTAAATATAAACATTTAATAAATAAAAGCACGAAAAACTATGGCGATTCTGCAATTTTTCTAGAAAAAGACCGTTCGGTTCCGACGCTAAGTACGTTCGTTCATGGCATCTATCTGACGTTTGAGCTGTTCGGCCAAAGCTATTTACAATAGAAGAACCTCAAATTCTAGCAAAATACTTCGGGAAAGAAATTTTCCTGAGTCAGGAGCTTGCGCCTTTAACGCCGTATATGAATCGACTACTTCTACAGAGTCGTTAAGCTGTACAAAGCATCGATGCTTAATTAATAAATTACGCACTATGCCTAACGATGGCAAGGTAGGTTTTCGTTTCGGATATCACGACAGCTGCTCGACGTATACGCTGTTGAGCGCTTACCAAAGTCAAAGGCGAAATCAGGTTGTGCTTTTACCTAACGAGGCTCAGAACGACGCCTGTCTCGATCTGAACTAAATGGCTCGATCTGGCATTGCATTAAAAAAAAACGACACGATGACAAATATTGGTAGAAACAGCATTACCTGCTGGCCGGAGCTCTTGGTAATTTTTGGCGGGAAAGGAACCCGCTTTAACCTGTTCCTCGCGCTTTATCAGCTTCTGTTTGCTTTTATGATTAAACCTGTAGTTTATTTATAGGTATACACAATAGAATCTAGCACTGCAGGGCCACAGAAACAGAACGCTTGCAAACCATGTGAAGTACTAATTATTACCAGGTTTGGTACGTAAACGTTTGTTTTACCGTTATCTTCCGTCGTTACGAATCATCCAGAAGGCACATAGGGCTGCCGGGAAGGAAAGCTATGCATCTTCGACAAGCGTTCTGCAATTTTTATTGTACGTAAATTATTATGCACACTACTAGGGTACACTATGCGTACATTTTAGATGTTCCGTGGTTCCATAAGCGATTGGAGTTGATCGCGACCACACTAAGAGTATACGCGAACGAATTTCTTTCATTTCCTATCATACCTGCGACGTTACAGTCCGCGCGACCTCACGTTTTCAATCCTACAAAAAATACTTCGGAAATGTTCCGCAGTAACCGCAATACCATTCTGGAACGTCATCACAAACACGCTTTTGCTGAAAACCAGTCGATGACTACGTCTTCCGCAAACGAGTCTACCTTAAACCCTACTTAACAACTAGCGTTGTCAACTCGTTATCGCTAAGGCACAACTATAAATTCGTCAGGCGACCACAGCGAAATCCACTTAAAATGGTTGGCTTAAACATATAAATAGTGAAAATATTATTCAGTTGTATTAACGACTACAAAAACAACCATCTCTTGGACTCGAGTTTTTTTTAGTCTAGCACATATTATCGAACTGACTTTAAGAACATGTTGAATTCGACGCGTAAGAAAACGATAGATATTATAATATTCGCTTGACAAGTAAGACACGAGCGATTTGAGTACGCTCAAACGTTTTGCCATTTCTAATACGACTCAAAGCACTCGGAATGAAGCTCGTTCCTGTATTGTTTTTTTCACTATTAACAATAGCCGCCGTACGCGACGTGTGGGCTGCCCATGGTAACTATCGACTAGTCAGCTTACTTAAATTATCCGTGTGGACACACGGAAGTTATTGTTTCACTCGCAAGTGTGAACCAGCGGGGTACAACCATTCACATAAACCATGGACTATTTTCGGTCTTATTCCGTTACAGCCAGATGGTAAGTACGCGGTTTTGCTTGAGCCTTGCTTACTAACGTTAATGCACCTATTGAACCTTAACACCTACTAGTACTACTACAGAAAGCTGTACGATTCATATATCAATTAAACGGCATTGATTTAACAAGCTCTTGTGTAGTGGGCCACTATTGACGACTCCGCGGTCGATTAATATAGATGTATACTAGTAGCATAGCGCGCCCGATATCCTCAAAGGTTACTTGACAGACAAAACTGATCCCCTCAATAATAATAACCTCGTTCCGGTAATACTTCGCCGCCATTTCCGTGTCATGTTTCGTATTAGGCATAGAGGATGAGTAACTAAGAGTCACAGGTATCGCAGAAGGCAATCGACGAGTTGAACTTTGAAAATTCCGCCGATTTTTTTCAGGCAAGAGAATTCCAACGAACTGCTCCGACGTGAAATTGAATTTCACCACTCTAAAGCCGATCTTGCCAGAGCTAATCGCGACGTGGCCAAGCTTTACCTCGGAAAAACCTGAACATGTCTGGGAGAGACGTTTCAAGCATTTTGGTCAGTGTGCAATTAGTCATGACGAAACAGCAATGGTGTCAGCGTATGATTATTTCAAGACGGCAATTTTACTCTACGACGGACTTAAAATAGACGAAAACTTTAAACTCGGTGGCATTTCGCAGAACAATATTACACCGGTATCGCTCAGCCGAATCAATTGGCTTTTCAATGGACAGAATAAGGCCATCGAGTTCTACTGTGAAGGAAATCGAAGTGGATATGATGTCCTTCAACGGATGAAGTTCTGCTACCATCCACGTTCACTCCGCGCAATTTCGTGTCCGAAAATTGCCAATGAAAGACCAACATGTAAGACCAAACAAGTCTGGTATCTAACGAATCCTGCTGGCGATCAGTCGAAAGCGTCTGATGCGATCAGAACAGTCAATACGACTTGTGAGCTTGTTATGATTGCCGTATTATTTTATACGTTGCTTACCCTCAAAGATATGAGCATAAACTGAAATATATGATGTCGGGTGAAATCCCCTAAGTTTCGAGGATGAGTTATTGATCAATAATTGATATCAAGTAGCGTATATTTGCAGTAGTATATTTGGTTATACATTTCATGGACATAAATGCTTTGAAATCATTGTCATTATAAGTGCCTTGCTTAGGCCTATTGACCCTGAGAATCAATAGTATCAAACATCCATTAATAGCAACAGCGCCGATGCCCTATGCGCGTGATCGCACGACATTTACCAATCCAGTTATCTTCTATCTCTGCTATTGTTAATATATGCTGGTGCATGGGTCCTTCTGCGAGGCACTAGGTAAATTCAGCAACAACACACGAACCCATGGGCACAGATAGACATTAAATGGGTAAATGTAATGCGGCAGGTCTCACAGGACACGTTAGTGCAGACGCTACCAGTGGGGCGGCAATTTTAATCAGGTTACTCAGTATATATATAATGGAACCTAAAGGGAAATGATAGCACCTGTTCTGTCGTTGTGCTGTGTGTACTACCAGAGCTTTCATCGTTGCTTAGGACTAGCTCCTTATTAATTTATATGATCTAAGGACCACTTACGTTGCAAGCCAACCTGTAGCCAACGCAATAGATGATAGTGTCTTCATAGCCAAGTTTGGTTTTCTGAACAAAAATATCTTCTGTCATTAAAAACAGAGTGCTCGAACGTCCCGTGACATGCAGATTCAAATCTGTTTCGGCTGGTATTGCTAATGGTTTCAAAGCAGCCATTCTGTAATCCTCTATATCATGGTGGTTTAAGATGTGTAACACATAATTTGCTATAATCGTTAGTCATACTCTATAACGTATGTGTATAAAGTAAAGCACGAATAGCCCCACATAAACTTTATTTACCTGGGGCTGTTCGTGCCTGTGACTGATTGGGCAGTTCACATTCAATCGTCAAGATCGCGTTGTTGCCTTTATCGTTGTTACAGGAAACTTCCAAAAAAAATGCCACAACATCAAGTTCGACTTAAGCTACCTCAATTCGATCTCGGCTAAGTTGGAAATTTTGCGACGAAGCTTCACGGCCATTGCTCCTGGGTTTATTTGAAGCGGCGTTTCAACCCTTCTTGAGATGTATCCTCGATGAAACGAAGGTTCCTTGTTCGGTTCTTGATCATTTCATGAACAGCATTGAGCTGTACCGAGGAGACAACCCTTTACAAGTAAAACGTCTAATGGTTGACGAGTTCTTCTGCCAAGAGAGCAAAAATAATGGCGACGTTCTTTAGCGGATGAAAATGTTTTGATCGTAGCGCATCTCGTGTCCAAACATAAGGAGCACAAACACTTCTAGCAAAAGTCCATACGTTTGGTACTTCAAAAACAGGCCAGAAGACTATCGCACCAATCGAAAACCGTCCTTTATCACCACTACATGATATGGTACCCGCGGCATGACCTATACGCTGATTCTAATTGTCTTTTCATTGTTGATCTTACTAACTATCTTCAAAGACTGGACATAAACTGTCTGATTAATAACATATTTCTAACATCAATTCGTTTGGTTTACTGTATAGAACCAACGCAACAATCATGCTCCTTGATGCTAACTTGAAGTCACTGGTACCGTCAAGTGAAGTACAAATGAATTGAAAATATTAATTTTGACCTTTGATTATACGAGGATGGGTGTAATATCTGAATAAATAAAGATAATAAGCCACCAGTGTCATTTACTACTGTTACGGCAGGGCTGAAGGGTTCCCACCTGCAAGCAGTCAATATATACACTCTGATCATTTCATTGGACTTTCTATATGTAATAAATTATCCATTTTATTTTATATATACAGTTACATATTTATGCGTTTCGCTATGTGCCTTTTACATAACGAAAAAAAAAGTGACAACGGGAGCCACGCTTATCTCGATTGCCACTCGTCCTTCACTTCATCATAAAATACTGCCGCGCTCAGAACACTTAATCTTCATAACATTAATTTAATGTTTCAAATACTGATCCTAGACAAAAACAGGTCCTACAAAAGAATATTTTAGCTATTTCAGTATATGCTCACCTGACATAATCATGCACTCAATAAGTAACTAAAGTAATAAAGTAACTAAAGAAATTGCCATTGGTAACCGTCAACGACCTCGAACGGCTACTAACAGGTTGTCACTGCTAAGAAGAAAGTGGATTTTCGACAGGCGTCCAGCTTTTCGGTTAGGACACATCAACAATGACTCGATCTGTAATAGTTGTAACTACGTATAGTAACGTACTACGAAATCCGCGTATGAGTTTTGAATTTATTATCCGTTCAGATCTACTCGTGACCTTTCGTCTATGGACAACTTCATAGAATTCAACGTACCGATTTGATGTTGGACGATTTATTTAGCTACGGCGCAACGTTTGCTCCTTGTTACTAGAAGGGGCCACAATCTGTGTGGAGCGATGCTAAGCTAAGACAGTACTAGACCTAAAATTAATAACTAAGTTAATAGTTAACTTAGTCTGGAAAGACCAATAATATCGCTTATCAATACACGCGACTGATTCACAAGAATCGCTGAGTTCAATACGGTTCTATTATCATCATCAGGCCTCAAAGGAGCGGATCGCATCAATGAAGTAAACTTCAGAGAAGTAAATACGAAGGGAAATATCATTCGAGATTGCTTGTACCCTTCAAGAGGTGTACTATATTCTGGTGTGTATTGCTACTTCTCAGTAGGATTTATATACGGTAATGTTTTTTTACTCTACATCTAGGCTTATCGCCCACACTTGGTTTGCAGATTTATTTTACGTTCAATTGATTTGCTATACAAAGAGTTCTAAAAGGCTAATAGAGTAATATGTTATCCGTGAAAAAAACCAAGGGAACTAAATGTCTACAGTTATTTTCTGTTCCAATAACTTGTGAGCAGTTCTGCAGTACGTCGCGTTCTCGGCGTAACATCATAGAAATATACTTAGTCACGGCTAGTGGGTTCTACCCACAAACCTCAAAAGCGATTCCACTTAGATCAGACGAGACGCCAGACCAACTGTCAGAATTAGCTAGGTAAGGTTTCATCCTAAGAATTCCTTTAATGGACGAAAGAACGGGGACCTTTTTGACATTACTATTTGAGTATTTATTCATCTGATAGTTGCTACAGTTGCACGCACTCCCGGAACAAAAATCCATCAATATAGGGCGATTTTGTTATTATGCTAGGTAAACCTTGTGCGCGTTAACATATTTACAGTTCCTTCTAAATGGTCAACTAACCCGAAGAGCCTTAGGATCCTCGTACCTATCTGTAATAGATGACAACAACCCCCGGGGAAGTTGTCACGTATCATGCGTTGCATCTTCTAGTATTTCTGAACGTAATATTGCTGCTTTTTTTTTTTACGAATTTTTAAAACAGTTACATTTTATTACTGTATGATTATTCAATGCCAGCTAATTGCAATGGCGAAAAAGTTGACGTCTGTGTGATGTGGTACTGAACAGTTGTTTATTGAGTATTCGCGCCTCTATCCGTTTCCTTATTGCTAGCAAACTACCAAAGTACTAACTCAAGTTCAATGTAGCCAAAAGCATTATAAGTAAGCTTTGCCGCAAGCTGTTCTCAGAATAGTTGGAAGCAATGTTTAAAGTGTTAGGGGCGCTATGTAATTAGCTAATCAGCAGGCCTTTATTCGTTGTTTGACTATTTGAAAAATATCATTACGATATTACTGCGTTCAACTGATTAGAATTACTGCAGTTTGTTATATAAATGTCGGTTGAAACGAGTTAATTCGACCCTCCGGGAGATAGCTTGATCTTTGCGTATGACGTTCAAGGCACGCAAGACGGATACGATATTCTTCAAATGAACATTACTGAAGACAAACGCGACGTAAAAACGCTAGCATGTTTGGTTATTGCCACAGGTATACGAATACCGTACCGTCCGCGCTAATCGTTTAAGTCTAATGGCAACGTGAGTGCCACAGTATGTCGGATAATATACATTTTATCATGTAGTATCGAACATGTAGTATTTAAGGTAGCAAGCTTAAATTTATTCAATTATCGTTCCAATGTAATTCAATTGTCAAGTCAGCTAGAGGTATGAGGACCTACTTGAAAATGATATTTATACTCAGTCAAATTGGGCCCGTCATTATATATGTATGTATATATATATATATATATATATATAATAATCATTATTCCGGTCGATTCGGGTCGGTTGGAAAGATGTGTCATAAACATGGACTCAAAAGAAAAAAAAGCCTCAAATGCTCCTATTTATCGTAACATAATATTAGTTGCGGGCTGCATAATCGATAATGTTGGACAATACCAAAGTCGGTTACCTTTATTTAGCGTATCTGAGACCCGGATTAGCGCTGGTAACGAACGCTAGTGAACCTGAAATCTAACTAGAAAGCGTCCATGCTAAAAGTGCTTGAAATTTAGTGTGCTCATCGTACGTAACAGTCGAAAAAAATGATCAAAATACTGAACGTTCGCCCACAACAAAGGATTATTAATGGTAATGCCGGGAAAAATAAAGTGATCTGAAAATCGAATCCACCTCCAGAGCTGTATTCTTACCTATTCAAAGCGATTTTAATAAGCGGAGAACGCTTGTAATGTAAGTTTCATGTGAGCCCTTTATGTTTATATTACCTCTTGGTTTTTTAAGCCTTCTTAGAGACTAGTAGAATATTTAATCATGTGAAGTATTGATACGTAGCACCATTGACAATTTTACTGGACGAACATTTCTACTACCACTACGTAAACGAAAAAACTTGGACACGTTGGCCCTTAGGCGGTCCTTCGCGCGCGTAAAATACTCATTTTCTGGCGTACGATTTCATCAAAAGAATTCACCGCCATTTTGAATATTTTCCTAATACGACAATATTTATGTATGCAGAAAGCTAAAAAAAAAAAAAAAAACTGGATGAATTTATTTGCTAACTTTACTTACGAGTCTTATAATATAAGGATAAGCCGAGGACTACTTTCAGTTTTAGGTGCTTCCGCTGAGTTGAAATTTAGAAACTCTCTTAATCCGAGTCCCCGTTATTAGCTCCATCCAGTTATCACAAACTTATATCCTCTGCTATAAACCAGACAACAACGAGATGGCAATCTGGACAATGGTCAAGTCAGCTTCAGAGGTTAGTAATCGTAAAGAACGTTGGCATTGGGAATAAGCAAAAGCTCATTTTATCGAGAAGCCAAACGCGTTGACACATATTGCTTGGTACAACATAGGCGTTTACTTGTGTCATACCAAGAGCTGTAACATTGTTAGCTGTCGATTAAAAAGCCATGATGCCACGGTAAAGAACAGACGATTCACTAAAAGGTGCCCTGTAGCTAGTCGTGCTGTCAGCTGTGCTCTATTACGTAGGGGTGCTTTGTGAAAGGACACGAAAAAGTTCTATCTGACATTTATCGTGATTTTAGCAACTGAGATTGGTTTTCTTTTCTCTACAGGGCTTCAGGATGTATTCTGTGGCCGTGGTATTAGTCGTGATTCACGGAGTGGCTTTGCAGACATCAGAGGCCCATGAGCCGTCATTGGCACCATCAGAGCTTACCACAATGAACACCACCGGATCTTCGTCGGTAATTAAGCTATTCGTTAGAACGTGGCCAGGATACTGTTCAGTCCACGCATGCAGAAAGCTACAGGCGAAAGACTCCATACCAATGTGGACTATTGGCTCCCTACGCGCATCGATAGTAGATGGTATACAGCCAATCAAATTTTTTCATGAAGCCATAATTTTTGCAGTCATTGTCAGCTTTAAGATAATGAAGGAATTAGACATACGCTTTATTTTTTTTTAACGCTATGGCACATTAAGCTTCGGTATACGAATACCCCGTATGTGAAGACGTAGGCGAGAAAATCGTTCAGTGAAGTAACAGTACAATAGTAAGACTTCGATTAATATCGAAAATATTTGACCCACTCAGTGTACGTTGACACATGTTATGTATCAGGGTGACTATTAGGTGCTCGATTTTCTCGACGTTGACACATGTTATGTATCAGGGTGACTATTAGGTGCTCGATTTTCTCGACGTTTTTCGTACCTTTTCGTGGCGGTCCCCCGTCCCACGGTTCGGGAATCGCAGTACTCGAAGCTTTGCCTAAATGCTGATATTCACGAGTTAGTCTGTTCTTGCAGATCAAAAAGCCCCACTAAGCAAGTGCAAGAAGACGGAGTTCAACGTCTCTGATATTGAAACAATCCGCAATGAAATTAGCTCTGCGTGGCCAAGCTTCAGCACACTATCTGATAAAGCATTTTGGGAAAAACATTTTAATCGCTATGCATCGTGTTCCCTCAATCCAACAAAACAGAACTATACGCCCCTTGAGTATTTTACGACTGCTATAAAACTGTACCAACGAAGCAATCCAATGAAGCTGTTTGAAGCTGTGGGCATTAAAGAAAATGACAATGAAACGGTTTCGCTGGGGCGACTCCGAACTGCCATTGATGTAGATCCGTCGACGGTCGAATACATCTGTGAAGGTAAGCACGATGACACTGATATTCTCGGAGGAATAACGCTGTGCTTCAGTCAACAGCTAGACAAGCGCGTCGCCTGCCCGAGCGAACCTAATAAAACCCTTACTTGTCAAACCGAACGAGTATGGTATCTAAAAACGCCGCTTCGGAGCTTGGCGAGTACGGGAGTAACGGACACGCAGAATCGGCAAATCAGTACTAGGCCGCAAGTAAATAAACTGCGGGCTAGGCAGGCTGACGACGACGTAAATACCGAGGGAGTTACTGAAACAACCGAGAAGCAACAAACAAAGCAATCTGGCCCGAATTCGAGTGCCATTAATCGGATGAATATGCTGTGGGTGCTTATCGCTACGTCTTGGATTTTGTTCGCCCATAATAACGTATACGTCTTGGATTTTGTTCGCCCATAATAACGTAGTGTAGGCGTTTTGTCTACAGTTTCTTGCAACCGGTTTGGAAAGTATCAGCGACGCTTCAGAGCACCTCATATACATGTTTTGAGTCTAAAAGCTGTTTATTATACATCAATAAACGGTTTATTTTCACGGCGACATCTTACTTAATATGGTGGAGATGTGGGTAAATCTCATTGATAGAAATAAAAGATTAATATGGTGGAGATGTGGGTAAATCTCATTGATTAGAATAATATGGTGGAGATGTGGGTAAATCTCATTGATAGAAATAAAAGATGATGAATTTCTAAGATGAGGGAAAAGATGAGTTGCAATAACACAATACGTCGCATTCGCGCAGATAATATTTATATAGAAAAAGCACAGGATGCGACGGCACGTTGATATAATAGTAACGTGCGTTTGCGCAAAAATTGGGCTGGGGAAAAATGATGCTCACTAGATAGAAATCAAACCTCACTCTCCATATGGAAGCCATGTACCGTGGACAAAATCCTACGCGTTCAGAATAAAGACAAATATTTTCTAGTAGTACCACGTTATAATTGTACGTACGTATATCATTGTATGTGTATACATATTTTACATGTATACACATAATAATAACACACATTATATCGGTTCTATTCCCACACCTTGTTCTCGGTACAAACGTCAAACAAACAACTCTTATCTTACGAACCCCACGAACGAGGTTTTTATTTCGATGCTTCGAATAGACCGAGTTTGGCTAAGTTTTCGCTTATTTGGCCATATTGTGAGTTACGTTTTATATTTGTGGCAACGTTTGCGAGATTTCAATTTTAGCAAATCGAAGAGCGGTATAAATTTATCGAAGGATTTTGCTGTGAGCTAGCGTATAGTAGATTCGCATACAGCATAATATGCGCATATTAAATAAAATAATGTACTTTTATTTGATTCGGCACCGGCATGTAATCAAGTAGCACCTGAATTAAAAACTAATTGTTTTCTTAGGGATTTTTTACGACATTGTGACCCAACACAAACGCTAGATGATCTTCCGTAACAGTCTAGAATATAGAGTCCCAGATTCCGAGTATCTAGGGTGACAGCGTAGGCGCAAATGCTGGACTAGAAATATTCGATATAGACATCCATCAGGTCCTTCGAAAATCTTCTAGAGTACCACGCCTGTCGATCGAGTGCTTGGCTGAAATATTATAATTGATTCCACCCGTAAACCAAGCTAGTTTCACAAATCAGATATAAGGCAAATAACTGATATCGTATTAAGCGGGTAATAGTATTATGTTTTGAATTGGTAACGCAGGGATCTGTTTTTGACAACCTAGTGATATTTTTTAACTGGAATTTCGTTGTTTAATCATCTCGGATAACGAAGCATTTTATAGCTTCGTTGTAGAGAACGACCGTCAGCCTTATGCTAGTTAAAAAGAAGATCAACAATAGCGATATTGAACCGCATTAGGCGCAGGATATCGCGATGCTTTTTTATAAATTCCCGGGGGTCGTCCAGAAGTCTCTTTTTTCTTTGGCGCGTGTGTCAGCCTAAATGAAAAGCATGCTCAAGGAGGGTAATCGGTAGGCGGCAACCAATGGAACCCTGTGCCGTAGCGCTTATACCACTTAGACGATAGGTATATAAATCAGTTAAGAAAACCCCAATAATATTTTTTCTAATAAGACGTATAAACTTCTTCCCTATGTTTACCCATAGTATCCAAATGGCTCTCGTTTGTGTTCTACTATGGAAACCTGTCAGTTCAGCGAATACCGTAAACTTTTTAGCGTTTTATACCTACACTGAACAAGGGCAACTATTTTCTATAGTTATGGCAGAACTGGAAAAAAACGACGTCGTTATAGCTAGTACAATTTGGACGGTGGATTTCATTCTATAGACGAGCAATATATTACTTTCTAGTAAACGGTGTCAGTGACAGTGCAGAAATTCGATGAAAAATCCTAGTGATGATGGAAAGACATCCTCCGTACATCTTCCCATTCGCTGAGGAAATCGGAACGACTTCTATTCATCCGTTCCTTATTAAACTAATTGAAACTTTAAAAGAAATCAAATTACATAGAACGAGCGACATTTAAAATTATAATAATAAAAAGAATAATTAGAATTGCTCAATTTGGAAAACGTGTTCCCATCTGATCACTGTGAAAAGCGGTTTAGAGGTGCGTATTGTGTCACGTTTATTTGTGGTCTCTAGGAAGATCTCGTACCTTGTTGTCTAGTAATAATCAAACGCTATCTATATGCAAGCTACTGTAGTGAAGAAATTCACACAAATGATTGTTACTTGTTTACTCAATTAATGGGTCACCAATAGGATACCAGCCCACATGTCACTTTTCCTAGAGCAGATCTTCTTTTTGACGTCTTAATTTCGCACTCGTCACACTTAGCCTCCTTCAAATTTTCCTTAGATCCAAAAATTAAGGAGAACGACACGACGAAGTAAAAAAACACTGACCAAACGAACAGCTTTCCCTACGATTGAATTTGAAAAATATAGGAATTAGCGAAAATGGCGGCAAATGTGTATTATATCTTGCGGGAACTACTTTCACGACGGGATCACAATAGATTGGGACGATTAGAAAAAGATCTCACACGGAAGAATCATTGATTTTTCAGTGAAGGATGGTATGCATATATATGTAGTTCACATGTACAAACAGTTCTGTCTATTTCTTTTTAGTATTTACTGATATGAAGTTCTAACATGAAGTGTTTACCCAAACTTCATCGACCACTAACCTGTTGTGCATATATGGTCAGGTACAAAAACTTTCATATGATTAAATTTACTTGTATCGCGTTAGTGATGATGAAACGCTTCACGTTTTTATTGTCTTCAAGATAGATACTCGTAGACACCATGCACATTTACAGACTGCTTGACGGCGTCATCACCTTAGAGTACCTGCTAGTCAGGGTTTCTATATACAGGACATTTCCAAAAAAAGATACGATATAGATTTAAGTCAACAGCTCACTTAAGCTCTCTGGATGCGATTATGTCGTAGCGACAACGAGTCCGGTCAAACGAAAGTAGGGTGCCCCGCAAGGTGCCGATATCAACACTGTGCCATCGACTAGCTGAAGTTAAACGTAAGATTCTTTCAGGCTTCGGATGGACTGGTTATGTCAGATAAGTAAAGTGCTTCAAATAGCGTAAGCTGCGTCGGACTGTTCATGTGGTGCGAGATGATCTAGGTTCGGAATCAAGCGTAGATGCTTTGTTTTGCACGACTTAATTCATCTCTCAGCATCGAATAAAGGATTAGAGATGAAGCGGCATTTCTTGTAAGGTAGCATTCGACGAGAGTTCTGGATAGGCGTATGTTGACCTCGTCAGTTGTGCACGTACATACCGCATAACTGCCTAGATTAATTTCATTCATATAACAGTTCTACCTTAACTGCAGTTCTTGCAGTAAAGTTCTATTGGAATAAAATATTGCGCTTAACTGCACTATGTTAACAACGCTCCACAGTTTCCGGATGAAGTTGACGATTGTGAAAATATTCGTGATACTAGCACTGGTCTTGGAGGCAGAATTAAGTGCTTCTGGAAGAAGGCGGAAGCGTGGGGTGCTATACTTCGAGGATGAGTCACTTGCTATTTTCGAGTTAACTCTGGTGACAACAGCCGGCTACTGCTCGGTCTTTGATTGTAGAGAATATATTCAACTCCACAAGTTTCCACAATGGATAATTGATAATCTAAGAATTCTACGGGGAGATGGTATGTAGTTCGGCACATAGTTTGCTTCTTTTTGTTCTTGTCTTGACTTTCCATATTAAGATGTTAATTATAGATATTTATCGTTACCAAATGGTCAAACGTAGCATAGGTTTAAATTTTAACGGCAAATTTTTTTAATTTTAGAATGAGTTTGCAAAATCCGCCAAGAAAGGTTTAGCAGATATAGTCGTGCGGTTTCAAGCTTGTAAATTAAGTGGTCAAAAGCTTGTATTACCTTATGACGTGTTCCGCCGTGATTTATTCAAATCCGCAAATTTTTTAGGTTCGGAATTTCCTTCGCGTAGCTGTAAAAAGGTGAAATTTAATCCGCCGGAGAAGGTTGAAAGGAAGCTGAGGATTATGTGGCCAAGCTTGACCTCAACACCTTCTAGGGCTATTTGGCGGAAAAAATTCCGTCGGCATGGGCCTTGTGTTCTAACCTATGCAGAAAGTAGAGAGAAAACTTTTGGTTATTTCAAGGAGGCCATAACGTTATATCAACGGAGTAATATTTTGAAATTACTTGAGATGAAAGCTATACGACCAAACAACCGAGCGCCGGTCTCCTTGGATAACATGATCTTGGCCATTGACAGAGACAATACGCTCGTCGAGTTCAATTGTGAAGGCAGTCAAAACGGTAGCGACATTCTGCACGGGGTCAAACTGTGCTTTGACTCGCCCACTGGCAAACGTACCATTTGTCCAGATGCGCTTCGAAAAAAAACTTGCAAAACTAAAAAGGTCTGGTACCTAAGAGACATACAATACTTAAATGAATATAGGAAGATAGAGAAACAGTCAAAAAACGGCAAATTGACTAACCCTGGCCAGAGCAATGTACGGAAGGACGACTACGACGAGTTTAATAATTCTGATGAGCAGAATGACTATGAATATTACTACGACACATATGAAGACCGTAGTGGGTACACTGAACAAGATAAATCACCTTATACTGACACTGTTGTAAAGCCACAACAAATAGCAGTACCAAAAACATTTAAACCAGAACACGACAAACTGGCTGATAAAAAGCTCTACCCTAACTGGCCCGTCGAAACTAAGAATCATCCCTCGCAGTATTCCAGCTGTATACTCGCTATGCCAAGCGCGCTATGTGTGTTCGTCGCAACGTCGTTTGCCCTAGTCGGCCTTAGAGAAGTTACTCTAAGCTAACTTCAGGCCGTAGACGGCCATTCATACACGACTATTGCGCTATAACACGATTGCCGTCTTCTGCTTCAGTCGTATTAAGCTTACAATGCTTAGATAAGCTTGAAATTATTTAAATGTTTGGCTGATTTCAGTGTGTGACACTGGGTTTGCTAACTGGAACAATGGGTCTTAACAGTTGCTAGTTTTACGATTACGATAAGTTGTTTTTGAAAGCCTTTTTTGAGCTTACGTTCTTCCTGAAAAATGAAAACTACAGATGATATTTTACTTGCGCACTTGCCGCAAAAATTCGAATCAGCCAAATATAAGGTCCTGTTAGAATTTCCTAAAACGATGTATTCGCTTTCGAGTCTGGTAAAACTCGGTGGTAACAAAATATAATCGTACAGAGCTAGCTAGCTAGCTAGTTATCTCCGTATACCCCGCCGTTTAGTAATTCCCGTACGTCCCGCCGTGTGTGACCCTCGAGAATTTAATTTCGGTTGTCCTTTTCCCTATATCACTTGTCTATGAAGACGGATCTATAAGCATATTATCCGAAAACGAAGCGTCAGCCCCCTATAGGTAAAGTACCACTGGCGTATAACCGTTAGTGGGTCCTCGGTACGTGTATGTTTTCGTGTATCTTAGCAATCACATTGAAATCATTCTATGAATGCAGCTGCCGAAAAAAAAAAAGTGCTGAAATGCACTGACGAGCAGTTCGAGAGCTTTCGTCTATAAAGCCATAAACGTTACGTTTCATATATAGTCTGTGATAGTGCTTTATCAGCTTCGCGACATTGACGACATGGCGATGACGATTGTGCGTTGTACTGTAGTAAATAGCAACTAGCTCCCTTCCTACAGATCTGCAAATTTATCTGACTGATGTAATATCATAGAACGGATGTAGTTTCGCCGTAAAGAGGTTCAAGGGCGTGATCAGTATCAACCCCCTCCGTTTTGCCTGCGAACTAGCTTCAAACTGACCTGAGGGGCTAGTACTACTACATCACATGCCAAGTTAAGCAATAAAGCGGATACGATTACAGGTTGCAGAAGCGCATTGAATAAACTACGACTATATCGTTAACTGATAATAAACTCATAAGTTAAAATGTTTCACAGTGAAGCCGTTCGTACCGTAACTCATCACGTTCTCACATAAGTTCTATTTGGCTACAACATGACACCACATGCAATTTTGGCTGTGTCCTGACAGGTATGAGATACAATATTATGAAACAATATTGTCTCAATTAGAGAGGCAAGAAGTTGGCTGTTTTCCAAATGATCAAACTGGCTATTGGTCGAACTTCACCTGAATGCAACAGAGTAAAGTGTAAACATCCATCAAAAACACGAAAAATTACCATCCAGCAGTCTCCTGATTGTTCCTGTAACATACAAGTTAATGGCTATAATCCCAGTTGCTCAGAGGCCGTAAATTTCTGCCGGCCGTAAAAATGAGCTTCGAGGAAGCCTATTCTACGAACGGTGATCTTCTGGAGTCCATTGCGAATGTCCCATAAAACGCGTCAGGTCTATCTAAGGAGCTCAATTATATCGAGTGTAATATCTAACATTTACGTTTTTATCAAGAATATGGTTCTTTGTAGAGAATCTAGTTGCTATGTGTCAGGCTTCTGTGCATACTTCATCAGTTAGTACGATTAACATAATAGCGCAGGTATCGTGGCTTTTTCAGCATCAAACGTGTATGTTACAATACCATTGCATGTTACTATGCCTCGTGCATATTTCGAACTAGACTACACTTAAAATTCTTGCTCAGTCGGTTTTAAGAGCATAAAAAAAATTCTCCAGTGTACGCAAATAAGCGGTATCTGGCCCAATAAATGATGTTTCTGCACCCAAATTCCCAAGAATGAGTGTATAATCTGGTTTTACATCGAAAGCTTCGAGTAGTTAGCTGAAGCTGAACATCGGTAGATGTTTTAAAAATTTTATCTCCGCCGACAAATGAGGATACTTGGAGCTATTGAAGTCCTACGAACGATCTACGTGCCAACGCTATTATCGCCACCGTTTTTGCTAGGAACGAAATTTTCACATCGATAACGCTTAAAAATATCCAACCCCTCTTCAAAAATGTACTTTCCTTCGATTGGAAAAAATCGATAATTAGTAGATCACCCGACAATAATTGTAGGCTCTGCCCTTTATTTAGTCCTTGTCCAGTAGATAGGAATGGCTATTCAGCCTGCGCTAACAAATCGATATACGTTTTCCACCTCAGAAGCACAGTTACCGAAATCGGTGTGGGGCAACTACCAGTCTGTGTTGATGATCCGGTTGCTAGAGATCTGCGTAAGTATATTGCGTAACAGGCAGTTACTCCCGAAGCATCGCTACTGAAAGCGTACTATCTGGGACGGCAAAATCCACCGTGATTAACAAGGAGATTCACTAATACCAATAATATAAATTACACTGATAATACTGATTAGATTTGGCCTCGTTGGTGAAATACCGCCGTATTTTGTTTATGTACACTCGCTTTACGTCATCACTGTGTACTTTTATAATGAAATAGTTGTCGTCAGCTAGGGCCAGCGTATTAGCTATGTTCCGAATGTGTGGATGGATGATTTGATGCTTTGTATAACTGTATTGTTTATTTAATCATTACGTTAGTGTTAGTTATGAACGAGCTGAAAGCAAAGACCCGTTAACGTGAATCGAGCGTGAACGTTACGGATGCAACTAGCGTATCGATGTAGCTATCCGTACAATACAAATACTAGCGCCAACAATATGACCGTCCGAAATCCGAAAATCACTGCCGACTATACAAGAAAAACTTGCCAGACTAAAAGCGGGTTTGTTCCTTAAGAAAATTTCCCTACGCTAAAACGCCTGCGAAGCACTACGTACGTAGCATACTATGAATAAAAAACGGTCCTTATAGTTTAGCAATAAACGTAGCAACGAATGAGCATAGAACTCTTTACTTTACCCAATATCTTACCACATTTCGGTATGGCCATTGTCGGCAGCTTGTATGCTACAACACATCGTGACAACTGGGAGCTCTTTTAGTAGACACTAGGAATCGCATGGTTTCGGTGGCCAGAGCGGATCTTCTGCCTCAATGGCCGTGCTGTTTATCGTAATATTCCATCTCGAAGCCTTATTTCGATCAACCTTAAACATCTGTTCTTGCGGGATAGGTTAGCGCATTGCTTTCGGTATAAAAACGTCGTTAATGTTGTTTTGAACGCTTCTTTTTTTCAAAATCTTGATTCAGTGAAGGTGAAACACCGAGGTCCATGTCCTGTCCAGGCCATATGGGGTTAGTACTGTGCTAAAACAGTGTTGGATAATAGTATAGCTGCGCTGAAAACGAGGTTGGATCAAAAGTAAATACGACTTGTTTAGAGGTGATGTATAGCAGCGAGAAAAATACATAGCTTCTTGATCGTTGTTGATAACATTTGGTCTTTGTGTGGCCGAGAAGTTCCTTCGACGGGCGTAATTCCAGAGTTTGAAGGCAAACGGTACGCGTTTTTAGATGCTCAGGCTTGTCCATATTGAATGAGAGGTGTTGCTTCTCACAGCTTGGCGAATATCGAGGGGGGAAATGTATCCCTGTTTGTAATTCACCGTCTGGTCGATTCGATCGTGCGGGCTTTCGTACGGCAACCATTCACAATTATCTCAACTGTCCACGTGCCGTGATTATGCTATTTTGACAGGTTGCTAAATTATCTAACACAGGTAAATTATCTTAATCGTTAGAAAACATTAGGTTACTTTCGATAGACAACATATGATGAATGTTTCGATTTTAGATTACCTATTTTAGTCCTGTGGTCATGGCCACTTCAGATCGCGCCCGTAGTTTCAGGTAATACTTGGTAATAATAGTGATACATTCTGTTTGACACTACGGTAATAATTGCCCTATAGGGCGGGCACTTCATGCTTAGGTAATCACATGAGCTTGGCAGACGGCAGTCGAAGCTAGTAATGCCGTGATGTATCTCGATCGTTTTGGTTCAAAGTAAGATAGAATCCGGGTGGTCATTGTTTTTTTTTCACAGCTAAGATACACAAGTGTCGGTGCGGATAATCTATAGAAGACACTTAGCCGACGCCTATATTTTTTTACAGTTCATATTTGTGTTTAGTCGAGTAAGCTGCTACAACGAAGAATTCATTAGGGCAATAGATTCGATCAGTAGTGACAAGAGGCCGTTGTACGGGCAAATGACTCCTTTAAACGTAAATGTTGAGTTGAACACTTATTGCTTGAGAGATCTTAGTAAAGGTAAAGAAGCGTCCCAGCGCGGTGCAAATAGGTCATTTTTCAATAGACCTATCATTGTAATGAGACGGTAAAACGAGCACATATATCTATATTGCGTCTTCTAAATTTTCGATGATCCGCAGAAGTGGCTGTTACAACAATCTTATTTTATTCCAGTAGTTCATGACACTGTACCAGGCACTGTGAAAATTCTACTAAAAATAATTCTTCTAATATTAGAACTTTGAAAATGGTTTCCATTACACAGAATCCAGATCCGCGCCAGTCGTTGTTAACGTTTTGTCCGGAGTATTTGGTTTTATTATTATTATTATTAGTAAATGTACGCACGCCTTCAATGCCATTCGTGTTACGTTTCACATTAACACAAACACACAAGTTACAGCCTGTTCGACTTGATTGGATTCGTTTCATTTAACCACAATTTGCCGTCAACCGTTTGGAAGTAAAATGAAAAGTAACTAGACTAACAATCTTAGAATGCCTCTGGCGTACCTGGGTCCGCACCCAGTATCGTTTGCTTTTGAGTATATTTACTGACATTTTTCTTCTTTGTAATTATCTCTGTCCATAAGACAGAACACCTTTCGTAATACCTTCTACCCTAAGATGGACCTACCTCACTACACGGTAATATTCGATTTGTTAATCACAATGTATGTCTTAATCCTATGTGTCTTGGGCGCCTTAGCTCAGGCAGTTCGGTCCACTAGTATGCCATTCCCATTTATTACATTCGAATTCAATTTTTGGATGCATACGCTGTACAGAAATGTACGAAACTGCGCAGTGACCAGGCGGAAATATCCTGGGCAATCCACTCTCTTTTACCAGCAAATTCGGTTTAATAAACATGATAATATATATGTTGATACTAAGCGCCAGTTTATGATCACACTAAACATTATAGTCTGCTTCTACGCTAGGCCACCAGATTAGTTTAAGTAATAATTATTTCTATAGGAATGTTGTTCTTGCTAGCTAATGATTACGGCAGTCTCTACCGCAGGTTTATATCGACTCGTTCATCACCTTGCGGTTCTGGGGCCTCGATCGGACTCTGATGATATCATTACGTATACAGTGAAAATAAAAAGATGAAGTGTATTGTATCAGCCGAGCATTACCAGATGACGTAAGACTTGGTTTCAGAAGAAGGCAAGACTTGGTTTCTATGAAATCCATTCGGTGATCGAAAGGCAAATACGCATATTGAATTTCTAATGTATTAAAATCCGCAATCCATTTTTTACTATTTAATGGAATGAAATTGATGCTTTCCAACAATTATTCTAATAAAGCACTTGGTTCTTCTAGAGGAAGCAACGGTCCGGATAATTGCCCCTCGAACGCGATGTACTACCCTTCTATAGAACTTCTTTCTTAAACCTGTACTGGATAAACTTTGGCCGAGCTACACTCTAGCCTCTAACCAGCACTTTTGGAGGCACCAGTTTAAAAAATATGGAGCTTGTACCAAGTTAGCTTCGTCACCACTTGATTATTTTACGCGGACCATTGTCCTATCGGTGGTATGTAATATTTCCCGAGTGCCCGAACACCCAAAAAAATTACTCCAAGTAATCCGAGAAAAATCAATGGAACTTTTGTGACTTCTTCCGATGCTACCCTGCCCGAGTTATACTGTGAAAATCGACAGAATAAGAAAGACATCCTTGAGAAGATTAGACTGTCCCTAAGGAGGGTGGGTTACAGCCGAACAAAAACATAGTACATGTCAGTCTAAAGATATTTGGGATCTAGCAAGTTCGGGCACGGTTCTTCTACCCAGTGTGCCTTGTGTACTTGTTACAATGCTTTTCATCGT